TCCAATAACTTACCCTTGAGATTACAAATATAAACTTCTAGGGGGCTGGGGAGATGGCTCAGTAGAATAAGCGCTTCCCTGACAAGTGCAAGGGCCTGAGTTCAATCCCTGGTTCCGCAAAACAAAACAAAACAAAACAAAACAAAACAAAACAAAACAAAACAAATATAAACTTCTTGGACTGAGATGAGGACCAGGAAGGGCTCTCTGTTCTTTCTTTCCTCACTATAAAGGCTACATGAGACTACACATCATATAGAGATCAAAAACAACCCTCTCCAACATCCTCAGAGCTGAGGGTTCCCATTTTTCACTCCCACAATGTGGAAAAAATCAAAGAAATTTATTAATTAAAAAGAAGAGTCCAGAGCCAAAATGCTTGAGTTTGAGTCCTGGTACTGGTAATAACTGTATGATTTGGAGGAAGTAATATTAATCTTTCTATGCTTCACAGTCACAAACTAGGTCCTAGACAATCAAGCTCATGATCTCACATACACATACAAATTCTCAGTCACATAATATACACAGTCATACAATCACACCAGTAATCTTACAGTCATAGTAGCTCAAAGACAGAGGTGGTCACACACAAGAAACAGTTACACCCAGTTACACACACAATGGCATGCCACACATGGTTAGACTTTTTGTCACAATTATTATACCTGGAGGAACAGGTGGTCATGGTTACACAATCATCTGTTGTCATACACACTCCAACACATTTGTGTCTGTACAGATAAGTAGTCAAACAAGTCACACACACACACACACACACACACACAATGTCACACCTTGGTGTCTCATAAATCCATACACAGTGACACAGTTGTACGAGCAAGGGCAGTCACACAAAAAGCACACTTACTCGCAATTCTCTCAGCAATAGTCACACACAGGCATGCACACACAAGGTGACACACGATATAATATTCTGGCACACCCACAGCCTATCACATACTTTATACACGATAACATAGTGACATAGTTTATCACACACACAGCAGCCCCGGTGCCAGAGCTGTCCCCACCAGTCTATCCCCAGCAGGGCCCCCATCTCCTACCCTAGGCTGGGATCGGGCCTAACTCACCTTTCCGGTCCGCGGGCTCTGGAAACTGGTCCAGAGATATAGACCTGCGACGTCAATGCCCAGAAATCTTCACGTGGCTGAGCACAGAGAGAACTGAGGAGTGCAGAACAGAGCTCAGATGGACCTGAACTGGCGAGTCAGCATTCTCCGTCCGGCCCCGCAAACTACCAGCCCCAGAATGCTTCGCGCCTCAGTCTTTCGTGCTGAACTACATTTCCCAGAAAGCACCGCGATAAATCTCCACTTGGTGCCTACAACTTGTGGTTGGTGCACTGGACTGTGTAGATTGTGCCTGCTTTGTGTGAAGAAGCTAAGTTCTGTCAAGTTACTGGGTGTGATTCAGCGCTTGAGTGTGGTGGTTACACACCTTTGTCCATATCTCTGTCCTGCACACCATTGTGTTTGTGAACCAAAAGCAGACGAGGAATTCTGCCTGAACTTTTGATTACTTGTTTTGGTGCTAAGGGCTGAACCCAGGCCCTTTTTACTGAGCTACATCCATAGCCCTTTTTTATTTTTAGGCAGGGTTTCATAAGGTGTCCAGGTTGTGCTCTTTCTGCCTCAGCCTCCCAGAGTGATGGGATCACAGGCTTTCTTCACCACACCTGGCTAAACTTCTGAATTTTCAATCACGTTCCTTCGTTGTGTGGGTTTGAGGTGTGCCATGTCGAAAATGTGAGATTATGGGTGGATGGGCCACCTCCAGGATAGAGGTGACCATTTGTCATTGTTCTTGTGCCAGAAGTCGCAGTTGTTTGCAAAAAGCTAGAAGCTTTTTCTGTTTCTGGGTTTACCTTTAGGATTGAATCTGGAGAAGCACTTCTGTGTCTCTGTGTGTGTCTGGCTGGCTTTCATTTTGTTCTGTACGCTAATAACTCACTGTGCGTGAGGTCAGAGTTACTTTTTATTTTATTTTATTTTACTTTGTACCAGGAATGGAACTCAGGACCTTGTATTTGCCAGGTAGGCATTTATTGCCACTGAGCTACATTGCTGGCCCTAGGCTTTAATATCCCCTCTCTACCTGTACCCCAAAGTAATTCCAGTCACAAAGGCATACTTATATTCCATTTTTATAAGGTTGGTCATTATTATCAAAGTTGTTAATAATTTGGTAGCCTGTTGCTCTGGTGTTCCTCTTACTGTTGATTCCACTTTACAGCTTCATTTAAGACTCAGAAAACTGCCCACCACAACTAGCGCAGGATGGTGCATCTGTAGTCCTAGCACTGTGGGAGGTGAGGCAGGAGAGTTGTAAATTCCAACAACTCTTGAGCAATTTAGCAGCTTAAGAAGACTATCTTTTAAAAAGGGGGGATTGGGGACTCAGGATGTAGCTCTTGGAAAAAAGACACTTTACAAAATCCTAGAAAGGAGAAAGCAAGGAGAAATTTCTTAGAAGTTATTCTTGGAAGAGATACTATCCAACCCCCTGCCACAGAGAGTCTTTTAAAAGCTAAAACCACAGAGCCTGGCTTCTAGGGCTGAAATGATTGCTGTTTACTCTGTAAAACTGGGCACTTTTACTTTCGAAGGAAAGCAGTCAACTGGTATTGTTTGAAGCCTCTGTCCTTTGTCTGAATTACCTGAGCTGCTCTGAAACTTTCCATCCGCCTGCTTCAGTCTTCTAGAGCACTGGGATTATGGGTATTGAGGGATTATGGGTACCTGACTGAAAGATACTTTGGCTGATAAAAAAACACTTTGGTCTGTGCAGCTATCTTTGTAAGTCAGTATTTGATTATGAGAAGGCTTTTAGTGTCATTATTTACTTTTCTTGTATCAGACATTTTTATCACTT